GGCTGTGAGGGGAGGGCTCTTGGGGACTCTGCCTGGTGACAGGAAATGTCACATGAAATGTTCCCAAACAACAGCCTCTTATGTGAGGCAGAGCACGCCCCTCACATGTGGCCACCAAGGATGACATCACCTTCCACAGTGAGATTCTGTAGACGGTGTTCCGCTGGTTCCAAACTTATGCATTCGCCTCCTTTCCCTCCCACAGCCTCCCCTTCCCTGGCCCCCTGGAATGTGCTCATGGCTGCAGGGAACAAAGGTTCCCCCTGGCAAAGCCAGTTGTTCCCAGATACATTCACTTTCTGTAAGAGCCTCTTTGTGTGCTGCTTAGGTTGATGGAAAGGACCCGTGTGGACGGTGGAAAGGATGAGGGCTCAGGGCACTGCTTGCTCTCAAGAAAGTTCTTGCCTTGTGGGACTTTGGATTATTGATCCTTCCAGGCAAACCACGGACCCTTTAGGTGACACTCGGCACTTGGCTTTTATCTCCCTTCTGTATCAGTGCAAACTGGCTCCAGAGACTGCGTGACATCCGCTGCAGCTCCTGGTAGGAGACTTCCCAGGGCAGGGGACAGTTCTTACTGGCCACCATGGAGCAGGCGCGGTGCTCGGCTCCTGACACGTATGAACTTGTCACCTTCTCTCAACAGCTCCCTGCGGTGGGTCTGGGGTGACCCGGAGCTCCCTCCCACCCACCTTCAGGATGGCCCGGCGCCAGCCATCCACAGACAACCCGTCCACAGAGCCAGGTCAGGGAAGAACAGCAAGGGCCTGAGGTGCTGCTCACAGACTCCACCCAGGGTTGGGAGGCGCAGCGGGCTCCCTCCCAGCACAGATGGTCCCTGATCACATAGAGACTGAATGTCCCTGTGCCGCTACATGGCCTATCAGTCCCCAAGGCGAGAGAGTGTGGAAGGGACAGTCAGTGCTCCACGACTTGCCAAGCCTCCCCACGGACTCTACACCCTGCTCCGTAAGTCCTGCTCCACCAGCCTCCTGGGCTGCCAGGGGTGAGGCTGTGCCCCTTCCTGTCTCACTCAGTATCCCCTCCCTCAAGGGAAACTGAGGCGAACTGTCCCTTGTTGGCAGAGCCAGGACTTGAACCCAGGAAGCCACAGATCATTGATCTTTCTGGGCAGAGGAGGTAGAGGAACGGCCTCACTGCAGCTCCCAGCACACAGTAGGCCCTCAGGGTGAGCACTGGGGCGGGACTGCTTGGTGCCTCTTCCCCCTGGGCCAGGACAGCCCCCTAGCCCCCGATATCCCCTGGCCTCAACCCACAGAGGTCTGAGGAGTGGCCTGGGCAGCACTGGCTTTGCCCCAGCGCGTCCTTTGCCTCTGTCTTTGCACCTTGTCTGTGGAAACCAGCCTGGGCCAGCATGCAGACCTTGCCTGGGGGACTTCCTGCCCCCAACTTCCTTAGAGGAGAAAGGGGGCTTTCTATCTCCAGCCCATCAGAGCTTGTTTCCCAGAATTCCAGAGGACAGTCCGGAGTCCCCGGTACCCCCCCTGCATTCCCACCCGAGGGAACCTGTGTCCTTGGTCTCTTGTTGAGAACTCCTGGC